AGATGTTATCTCGTCCCATCAAACGTGTTTTGGCGGATTGGCGTCGGCCATGATGATTATTGCCGACGATGGAACGACTCCTCTTACAAAATGTTCACCTGTGCCGTAGTATCGTTTTTGAAGCGGGAAGCTCAAAAAACCGCAAATTTCTTACGCAGACTGTGAAGTTATGAGTGCATTTCAGACTTTGCTGATGCGTGATTTTCGAGGCATTATCTATAAGAAACAACTCTTATTTTTGCTCTAGCAAAAGTTTGCAACAGGCCCATTGGCCGCCATGGTGCACCCAATTTGACCAGGAGCTTTTTTTTTTACACTATTTTTGAAATTTGCGATCAAAATGACAGCGAAGATGACACCTCACACTACACTAGATGCACATTTTAGAGTACCTTATACCCTCATAATTACAACACGGCAGCCTTTATGAATTTTAGGCATTTTAAGGGGTATTCCCCGGTCAAACCACGGTAAACTTTTTGTATGTTTTGCGTTATTCAGATCAACTTAATGATAATATTCTTTTATGTAAAGTATGTTACGCAAATTGATCCGAGTTAGCCCTCTTTCTTCCATATTTCTCCTGGACTGAACGAGGAATTGTACCAAATTTCCGGAAAAATAAGGATTTTCGAATTTTACATTAAAGCGCTTGCACTAACAATGAGAGAAAAAACGATAGAAAAGTTTTTTACTTTCCAATCACTTTGATCCTATGCATTTTTGTCATATTTGCCATCGTTGCCATGCTATCGTCCAAAAATCTGAATATACCGTGAATTTTGGCTTCAACGTCAATTTGGGTGGTCCAAATGTTGACAAAAAAATTCAGGCGTTGTATTTAGACCATTTCGCCACTTCCATGCTATGTCCGTTTTCGAAAGGAAATAAAAGCCCAAAAACGCTCCATCCTAGCTTGAGGTAACTTAATTTTAAGGGGGAAGGGGTCTAAAGCAAATTTTCGTTCGTCAACTGTTGTAGAAATCCGTAAACGGTTGTCCTGCGCGTTGACGAAGTTGGTATTTTCATCAACCAATCAGAGCCCTGTGGCCTGTTTACAATACTGTTGATGGATTTTGGCAACGTTTTACGAAAATTTTCTCGTCCCAAACAGCGATGAATAAACAAACAATAATCAAAACAAACATTGAAGGTTAGAAAATTTTGAATTGCTGAAATGGACAGGAGCAAGAAAATCGCGCTTATCCTCAGTGGAAGGAAAAGACTGAAGCGAAAAGTGTTAAATCTTCTCTTAGATACGCCGCTCAACACGAGAGACGCGAATCCAAATCCCAAATCAATATTACTTCTCTCACTAACCTCACTCGTGGTTTTAACCAGAATCGTTAACAGGCTCGACAACGAGGTCCCTGGCACGTTTACGAAACCGTAACCTGTTGACGAAAATTAAATTACGCTTAAATTACGAGGTATTTGGCGGGAAAGGCAAGGCCACGCCCATTTCATCACAACGGAGCAACAACGGAGAACGAAAATTTCTTTTGATGACGTATTTCGTCAACTGTTTACGAATTTCGACAAAAGTTGACGAACGAAAATTTGCTTCTAGAGATGACAGGTGAGCGATAAGGAGGAGAGAGGGGTGCAAAAGTCGGGAAAATTGGGTGATGTAATCTATGGATAACTATACCCAGTATAAGCGTGATTGGGAAGGTCTTATCTCTTTGGTTCCTAACCTCATCGAATTGACATGGAATGACCCACATACAGCCTTCTCTGTCCAAACAAGGTAGCGATAAATGCAGTAACTTAGAGTGTACCTGGTGACAATCCTAACTACCGGCAGCAAAGCATAACTCTCCGTTGCGCAATATTATCATGAACACCAACAGACCTAATTGTTCCATTTGTTCGGGGTTGTCAGAGTTGTCAGATTTTCAAACTCCGAAGCAAGTTTTGCTTCATGAACACTGAGGCTCAAAGAGACCAATCCTGTGCACTTTGGCACCATACTTGAGAGATCAAAATTTATTACATCTTAAAAAATGAAGGATGCTGCTTAAGATTTTTCAAAGAATCCTGTGAGCAGATTTGGAGAAAAAAGTATGAGATGACGCTTCAAGCTGTGTATGCTTTGAACAAAAAATGGAGGCTCATATGTTTAACAAAAAAATTCAGGAAAATTCAGGCGTTGTATTTAGACCATTTCCTAACTTCCCTGCTATGTCTGTTTTCAAAAGGAAAAAAATGCAGGAAAGATCATTCTCTGACGTTTTAAATGATGCCATAACCATTTTTTGGCGATGATAAATAAATTTATGAGCTCAATTTTAAGCGCACCCCTGTGGCAAGCACTTTCAGTTAGTAGGCGTTTTCACCTAATTCATCGTGGCGCTGCGCCTTTTACAATCTAAGTGGACACGACCTTGCATGATTTCCCGGATTATAAGACAAATTATCAATAAATCACGATATATAGAGCATATCTCACCTCCCATAAAACATAATTTCTTTATCAGGACTAATTTTCACCTTCCAGTCGGTATATTCTTCGAGAAAAAGGGACAAAAATTCGTACAAATCAAAATGAAAGCGTATTCTTTTTTGACCTTGAGATGTTTGTTGTCAGTAATAAGACGTGATATGAAAAAGTTTGAAAGAAAAAAACCCCCTCTCGGTTTTTATAGAAAGAACATTCTCTAGCGTTTAAATTGATACCATAACAATTTTTTTGCGAAAAAAAATAGATCCGTGAGCGCAATTTCAGGCGCGCCCCGGTGGCAAGCACTTTCCGTTTGTGGGCGTTTGGACCCGACTAATCGTCGCGCCGCGCCATATACAACCTAAGTGATTACATGATATGATTTTCGCTACGCACAGTTGTGAACAGATCACACTTGACTTACCATTATTCTTGCCATTGTGACTGAGCGATTCTGGGGGGGGGAGGGGGATTTTGGCATAATGTTGGGCTGAAATAAATGAGACACATCCGGCAGCGTCGCCAGTCTCTTCCCGCGCAAAATCGTATTTTTTTTGAAACAACACATCGAAGAACATAGTTCAGATCAAAAACATCAGTTGGGAACACTACCTGACTTGCCATTGTTCCTGTCATTACACGACACGGAGCGCTCATAGAGTTGATCCCAGCATAATATTGAACTGAGATGAATGAGGCATTTTAAATGAGCATTGACAACACTGATGGGTGGTCTCAAACCGCCCTTTTTACTCTACCGTTTTGTGATCAGGAACAAAAAATCCAACTCCTAGCAAATCCTATGAGGAGGACAAAATCACTGATTTTGAATATCCTTCTTTCACCGTTTTCCAAATAAGTATACCTACTACGGTAGGATTCTCTCGTCTGCAAACATGCAAAACTTGACATGTGTGTATTGGCAAAATGAGTAAATGTTAGTGTTTGCTGATGTACTCTATGTTACTTTTGAGCCAATTTATGTCAGAGATAATGTGTGATACACCTGTAGCAACATTTTACAATGTTCCAGCTTGTTTTGTATTTTTATATTTCTTTCTCTTATATTTTACTTTATTTCATTTGCCTCTAAGTAAAAATTGAACTTTGGTTGGTTAAGAAGTATTGAAAAATTGAACTTTTCATTGCAAGCTTCTTTCTTCAAACATGTTCCGACATGTTGCGCATTTGAATTTACAAGATTACACTATGCCAGGGTACAGTGATGTCACTCCTGCGTGACCCGTCCCTCCCTTGCAATTCACCTCCAAACCCGCCCTCCCCCTCACCTAAGGCGGGTGATGTAATTTAAAGACGGCTACTCTGCTGTAAGCACCTGTGTGGAAAAAATTATTTACCAAATTTTAGGTCATTTGGTTGCTAAACTGATATTGAAAGAAGACGAAAAAAAAAACACGCACAAAAGAGAAACAGAAATTGTATAATTGGAGAAAATACACGAAATAAACCTTCTTAATCAACCTGAGAAGGTATTGAGTTGCAAGCTTTTCGAGTGACACGTCCCAGGAGAAATGGGGGAGTGTAGGCAATTCTAGTTGCAGATTCGCCTTTTGCACTGCTGGTCACGCAGCAAGAGAAGAAGCTCGGGAGCTACATAAGCTATTTTTAGCGCGAGGCAGATTACCGTCTGAAGATTTAGAGTTTCCAAGAAGCAATCTGGACCATAAAGAGGGTTGTTAACCAAATTATTTTTTTCCTTTCCCTGACTTTTAAGTATGCAACAGGCGCGCGCGGACGCAACGCGATGGTCGGAATACGCGCCGGTAGTTCCTCGCGAAGCCAAGCGAGAGCGCCGCCATTCTCCGCTACTCGAGCCTGAGACCGCCTGCGCCCAATTACACGAAAAATTAGAAAAATCCCTGACTTTCCCGGTCGCTACCAACCCTGCTAAAAGGATTCTCATTGGTTATGCAATCGCGGGAGGGGGGGGGGTGGATGAGAATTTCTACGGAAAACTTCCTAAACGTTAGTTTAGTATTGAACACAAGCGTGTCAACTAATACAAAGAGAGATATTTTGAGCATGTAAAACTGAAAATGTGCGAGAGACTTAGAGGCAGAAAAAAGTTTGAAAATCGTTCAAGAAGTTTCACACAAGAGTAACAGTTTCCCACACAGTAATTAAGTTGATGCGAGAGATAATCTCTGCTTCGTTCCACACTTTATCCCCACTGTTTTCGGCTTTAGCTTTGATTCTTAGTGAAGCCTGGGCAATGACTGCAGCAAGGATTTCTGCACATAAGTTCTGTTATGATGTGTGGCTCCCAGTGTTGATTGTCATTTGTAGCTACACATACGGTAGCCTGGTTTAGGTACCAATCATCTTTGGGTTTCTCATCAGGGGCTGCGGCAAATCAGGGACAGCAGGACTGGGGCAAAAGGTTGGCCTGGCACCAGGATGTCGATCTGTCTCGCCATCTTGTATAGTCAGGCCATGGAACAACTAATGACTGTTCTGATATATATATGAAAAAGAAAAATCTACAGGGCATTGCAGCACCCGTAACATGATGAATACAAAACAAATTTCTTTTTACCTTGCATGCTGTAACTAGCTAGCAATACTGCTTGATCCACATCACAACAAATGCGACCTTCAATCACATCATTTTTTAGCTGAAGAAAATAATGATACCTGCAAAGAAAAGAGATCATGCTGACTATCTTGGCTCAATGAAAGAGTGTAAATTAGATAGGAGTGTATATGTGTAGGTATGTATGTATGTTAAATGTATGTACGTACGTACGTATGTGTGTGTGTGTGTGTGTGTGTAGGTGAGGGTGTGTGTGTGTGTGTGTGTGTATGTATGTATGTATGTATGTATGTATGTATGTATGTATGTACAGGGTGTCCCAGAAAATAAATAGTTAGAACTAGTTACAGCGGTGAGGGTCCTAGTTAATTCTAGAATTCATTAGTAAAAACTAGTTTTGGCGAATGGGGTTTGTGACAACTAGTTTTGACGGATTTCGGGTTTCTACTGTAATACAACAACAATGTACAATAGATTGACAGCTTTTTTGTTAGGTTGCAAGCGCACTTTGAATGGTCAAAGCCTATGACTGTAAATGGTCTCGCAGGTGTAACTCTTTCTTGAGGTAAGTTTCCCATTAACTGCATTATGTTGGATGGTCTTAATCTACGGCATGGCACACTTGAATTGACTATTTTCTTCGCCGACTTTAAACCATTAATTGGCCAAAATGTCGCTCTAACCAAAGAAAGTAATAACTGTGAGCCGCAATGTAACCCTTTGATATGCTCTGATGCAACAATCAAAGACGATAAAGGATGATCCTTAGGGAGTAAAATTTGATGTTTTGCACCGTGGGGAATTGATGCATTTTGTAGCCTTCCTCCAACACGAATTAAACCGTTTTTGACGAAAGGACTTAAACTGATGATTGAATTACTTTTTGGCAACTCTTCATTTTTTCTCAATAAGCTATACTCATAAGGAAATCTCTCTTTTTGTGTGATTTTGCACAAACTTAATTTAGCATTATTTAACTCCTCACAAATTAAGGACTCACTGGCTCACTGTAGGAAAAAGGGGGGAAAGGGGAGGAAATAATGACAAATCTAGCTAGATCAGAGGAGCGTGTATATGCGTGAGAAGATCAAGGAGACAAGTGATAGTGCGTAACCATAGATACATACATGAGCAATATACACTATACAGGAGAAAACGTACAGGGTGCCACCCCCGGGCGGGCTATTCCGGGTTTAGGACTAGACAAAGGACTACGTGCAAAACGGGCCATTTGGGGCTCGGGGCGGAAAGCTGTGAGACTTGCCCTATTCATTCACCTAACAATGCCCGATCTTTTCCCAAAGTTTCAAGCCCCCCAAAAATTTTGGGGAGACGCGGCGGGGGGTCAAAGTACAAAACCGGCAAAATTTTCGCGAATTTATTACTCGAAAACCAAGAAGTTTTGGAAAACGCGGTTTAAACGAGCGTGTTCAGCGTGACGAGAGCTTTCAGAAAATGTATAACATCATAGGGTTTTGTCAACTTCAGCTCGAGTTATCGCCTCCGAAACGCCGGAACGCTCAAAAAAGACCCCTTATTTTTTCACGTTTGGGCCGATTTAAAAAAAAGCCATTTTTTTATTTTGATGAAAAACTGATATGTTGTTCCTGACCCTCTGTAGCCCCTCTGGCTCTTTACCGCATGCTGGGGAAATGTTTTGGTCGCGAGTTATAAGAGCGGAAAGGAGCGAAGGTCGGAAAAATCGGCTATTTTAAACTGCGCGCGCGGCGTTGATCGGAGGGAAAACGTCCCCTCCCACTCAGTTCGGCGAATCACACTCCTCTGCCGACCTCGCATTGTTGCCACATGTCTCCTGATCCGTCGCCGCGCGCAGTTTAAAATAGCCGATTTTTCCGACCTTCGCTCCTTTCCGCTCTTATAACTCGCGACCAAAACATTTCCCCAGCATGCGGTAAAGAGCCAGAGGGGCTACAGAGGGTCAGGAACAACATATCAGTTTTTCATCAAAATAAAAAAATGGCTTTTTTTTAAATCGGCCCAAACGTGAAAAAATAAGGGGTCTTTTTTGAGCGTTCCGGCGTTTCGGAGGCGATAACTCGAGCTGAAGTTGACAAAACCCTATGATGTTATACATTTTCTGAAAGCTCTCGTCACGCTGAATACGCTCGTTTAAACCGCGTTTTCCAAAACTTCTTGGTTTTCGAGTAATAAATTCGCGAAAATTTTGCCGGTTTTGTACTTTGACCCCCCGCCGCGTCTCCCCAAAATTTTTGGGGGGCTTGAAACTTTGGGAAAAGATTGGGCATTGTTAGGTGAATGAATAGGGCAAGTCTCACAGCTTTCCGCCCCGAGCCCCAAATGGCCCGTTTTGCACGTAGTCCTTTCAGATATGCTGCGTATCAAAGTGCCAGAGCTGGTCTTGATTGATATCACTCTACTTATATGTTGTCATTACCTGAATAAAACTTCATAATTCTGCCCTTTCTCCAAAGCAGAGGAGGCAAAAACTTATCTTTTAATATCACTAATGTGTTAACCTTAATTTTATTTTGTTTTAACCACAGACACCTTTGTTGTTCTGATGTAAATATTCCATCGACCAATGTTTCCAACGTGTTTTGTATAATTTTTTAATCAACTTCCAATTTGTAACCGACAAGGTGGATATTCCGTGTTAGTGTTTAATATCTCTGTCATTGCAGAACCAATCAAGAAGTGGCCAGGAGTTGGTAGAGAGAGATCAGAATGATCGTTTAACATCGGCAAAAGAGGTCTTTAGGATTGCTTCAACTTTGTTAAGGATTGTTGAGAATTCTTCGAAATGAAGTATGTTCGTTGTTACAGTTTTAGAAAAAATGATGTTTGAAACTTTTGATACAGCTCTCCCATAAACCATCAAAATTAGGAGAGTAACTAGGGATGAACTCCCATTCAATCTGTTTTTCTTGCAAGTAATTTAAAATTTCAGGTGCATTTCTTTAGCTCCTCACAAGGTTTTACTTTATAAATTAATGTTAAGGCCAATCTGGGTATACGGCTGCCAGATTTTGGCACGTGCCGCCAGTTCTAATCTCAAAATTATTGAGACAATTCAAAATAAAATACTCAGACAAATGGCAGGGGCCAGGTGGTACGGGCGTACATCGATATTAGAGATGAGCTCGGGATCGAAGAAATGGACATGTACATCTCACGTACGTACAATAGATATGAAGAGAGACTGAGCGGTCACTCCAATCCCGAAGCAATAGCGCTTTTGGATTGGGGCTTCGAGACCCGGAGGTTAAAAAGACGCAAACCACATGAGTTGAGCACAGCTCATTTCCGTCGGGGTTAGGCTCGTGCCTCTGGCTCCTACCAGTCTTAGTCGACTGACAGGGCGAAAGCATAGTTAGTAGGAAAATTCTCTAGAATCTAGTTCTAGGAATAATTATAGTTAATATCAGTTAGTTTTTCTCCCGCTTTTTACAGGATTTTACTTCTATCCCATTTGTTCATCCTGCATTATCATTCTCATTAATTTAATTTAATCCATAAAGCGGTGTTTATTTCTATTTTATTATATTAGGCTTAAAGGAAAATTTGTAAAGACTCCTAAGGTCTAGTAATATAAGTTGTAATTCAATATGTGTAATTACAAAAATAAATAAATAAAAAAAAAACATACAAAATGACAAATGGGGCCCTAAATAGAAGGAAAAATAATAGAGTTCAAATCATGTGATCAAGCATTAAGATGCAATGTAGAGAGACGGAGTGGAGGAAGATGAGCTGGGCGGAGAAATAAGAGGTAAAAAGTCTGAGGAAATGTCAGCTGAGAGAGCAGGAATACAGGTGCCGTTTATATTCGCACAGTCACAAGTCAATATTACGATGAAACATCTTAACAGCCCGGACAAAAGCGGAAAGAGTTACTATGGCGATTCGCTTCACTCCGCTATTTCGGAACGCGAAACCGGCGATCGAAGGTTAGACTGTTGACGCGCACGGTGAGCACTCAGCTGATGGCAAAATCATCGAATAAACTCATAAAAAATGGGTTTGAAGGTTATGAAGATTATAGGTTAGACCAGGTCAAATCACGTCGGAGTCACCAAAAACTGTAGGAAAAAGGGGGGAAAGGGAAGGAAATAATGACAAATGTAGCTGGATCAGAGGAGCGTGTATGTGCGTGAGAAGATCAAGGAGACAAGTGATAGTGCGTAACCATAGATACATACATGAGCAATATACACTATACAGGCGAAATCGTACACCTCTAATACCGAATTTCACTAAAATCGATGGATCATGAGCCGACTTAGCATTTTAGGCCACGGCCGCCATCTTGGATTTTGAAATTTTGAAAATCCGACCAAAAATTCCAGTTCCCCGTTGAAAAATACCTCCACAACCCGATTTCCACAAAAATCTATCGAAAAATACCTCCTAAAAGATTAAATTTCGTCTATAAGGCTGTGACGTCACGCGACAGGATTGAACCTGTTCGGCGCGGTGCGCTTAAACAACCGCGTATCTCCAATGCAATACTATAGAAAGAAACAACTTTTCGCTCTTGCGGGCGTCCTAGGCAGCGGATTGGAATCGGAATAATTTTGATCAACTCCTCACGACAATTGCTAAGCATGTACCAAATTTAAAGGAAATCGCTTCGGCCAATTTATCTCTAGGGGGGGCAGAGTGAGCCGGTGAGGCAGCTTTATATAGAGTAATAAAATAATGTAGGGAGGAACCCAGTAGATGTTCAACGCTCCCGGAGAAACACGGTTATTGTAGGTTGCCTGCGGGAAATTGCTCTTTCTTTCGAAAGAAGTCAAATAGAATTATAGCAGTCAAGAAGATTGTCTCCACTATAAAATGAAATATATTGAATATGCCACGTATCTGCTTGATAGGAGCGACTTTCTTCAAGCATTTTTTCCTCTTAACTGATTCAAGAAAACTTCCTACTTATCCAAAACGAAGCAATACTGCATTACTGCTGTGATAGCGAAGAGAACAGTAAGTATCAAATTTTCTGAATAGAGTTTCCTTCAAATTCGTTCAATCTCTTTCAGATGAAATCATTAAAATTACTAAAACAGCAAAATATGTCCTAATGTATGAAAACTAGACATATGAGAAACCCGTACGTGCGCTG